TCCAGACTAGAGGGGTACCTCGAGGAAGGCTCAGTAGAGCTCGCATCAACCTTAGGGGGAGAAGGGAAACCAACATCCTCTGCCTGAGTTTCTTCAGAAATTTCCATGGTACCAAGCAAATTCAATGTATTAAACCTATTTTCCTGTTAATTGTTCACCGGTTTCTTCCGATAGAATTCTTCTTTTCTATCCTTCATCACCCCCCAAACCTCTTCCTCCTTATGAAGGTTAGCATTGGCTGACTGTTTTGGAGGCCCCAACATATCCATCTAACGACCACTGATGGCGGAGGTGTTATTTTTTGCAGAACGGTGGCTTGTCCCATAGCATTACACTTTAGAGTATAGGACAAGGATACCTCTTTGCCATTGAATTGAATCCAAATTTCTTAAGGATTCTCTTCAGCTATGTTGCATGCTACATAGAGTCTCGCTTCTGGCCTAGAAGGTGGACTCGTTGGTCGGTCCCTAAAGATAGATCTTCCCATGGCAGATGCAGTACAGCCCAAGATTTCAGGCTCCCAACAGAGAGTTGGCAAACCAGGCAACTTGTTCCCAACAGGCAACACCTCTCGTAGTTTTTTGACGGTTGCATATCCAGCTTCCATCTTTGCAGCACTAAACGCATTTTATTGAACCACGGACCGCCTGTCATGGCCTTCTCCATATCTCCCAACTCCTTAAAACGAAACAACAAGAAACCATCCGTGAGGGAGAAGATTTCAAGTTCAGCCTTTATATCCCACATCTTCGTAAGCATGTTTTTCATATAAAAGCATTCTGGCCTTCTCCCCAAGAAGAAACTTAGTAGGCTCTATTTCCGCCTTGAGCTGTAGGTTTTATACAGATTCGACTCAATATTCACTATACGACTACCCTCAAAAGCCTTCGTCTGAGAGGAAACCTGTTGCTAGAAGTGCACCACTCCCTCTCGTGCACCATGACTTTCAACAATAGATCTGCTGCTGAAGCTTCCTTCTTCCAACAACTAGTGATCTCAGATCCAGATCCCACAGCATGGTGTGAAGGTTGTCATCCATAGATGCTTTCAGATCTCCATCTTATCTTCACCCAACAAAGAAAAACCAATGCCAGCAAAAGAACAACCCCTCAAGGTTAGGTCTAGGCTTTTCAATATGTAGCTCATCAGCAGTAGGGATTTGCAGATCACCACCATCTTTACCCAATGAAAGAAAACCAAGAGTGTATAAAGAGGAACAAGCAGGGTCAGGAGGTTTCAACCTTGAAGGATCCACCATGGGAGGATCGTTGCCATGGTCGGATCCCTCTCTGGAAGCCATGGGAGGATCAGAATTTGCCTCGATCATGACTGCACACACCTCTAATGGCTCTCGTGGCTACTCAAATGAGACCTTAAATTAATATGCATATTCCACATTTTTTAAGAGAGTTTCACTTTTCAAAATCTGTTTATGTTTTTAAGTTTGCATGAAAGGGACCTGCTCGAAATCTCAGGATCACACCTGGCAAGTCTAGAATGGCAGAACTGAAACCAACTAGGCTTTGGCACTTTTGACTAAGTGTCAAAAGCACATTCCTTTAATGATGGGTTGTGATGTATTTCCCTACAGAACTTGGTGATATTATCATAGAGGAGCTTATATAATGTTGCAACCTTACTTGCAGAAAGTAAGGTTGCAGTAATGTACACCATCCAATTAAAATAGATGGTGTAGAACATTGCAACCTTGCTTCTACAAGTAAAGTAGGCCATCTTATATAAACCATGCACTATTATCATGGTGGACTGTTTCTTTTATGATTATGGAGTGATGGTGCTGATCACATGGTCTGCCATCCACAATGCTGCACTGAATATGTGTTTAGATTGGCAAGCTATTAAGTAATTGAAACACTGGCAATCTAGGATCACAGTTCCTGGTTCTTTTACTTTTCTATAGAATCAACAAGAGCCCATTTGTGCTTGCATTGAAAAGTCATTGCTTGGTTCTTGCTTCTTCGGGCTCCTTTTACCGGGTATTTGTTCATCCGCATACCGCATGCTTCATTCATTAGTATCCATTCATACAGTATATGTTTCACAGACTCAATTGTGTTTGTTATTTGAAACCACTCTTAAGGTTAATTTGGTGGACGTTAGTTTTCATAAATAGCTCTCTCTCTCTCTCTCTCTCTCTCTCTCGGTAACTTCGTCGTAAGAGTTAAGTTTCCCACCAATGCCTCTCATGTACCAGGTTACAGTTTATGTCACCAGGCAATGCTTTTGAGTTTCTTTAGGTTTTCTCTTTCTTTTTTCTGGTGGATAAGCTGAGATTGAATCCCAAAACTTAAACCTAGGGGCTGAACTTCTAATATAGATTTCCTGGAAGCTACTGTGTTTTCTGAAATCTAAGTGCAGGTTCAAATTAAGTGGCGGGTCTGTTGAACAGATGTGGTGGCCGTCTGAAGTTCAGCCTCTGAATTGCTACCCTCATGGCAGGTCTTTGGTACTTGCATCTTCCTCTGGACACCGGAGTTGATTGTGTTCATCTCTCTCTCCCTCTCTCTGAGGTCTTCTCAAACTTCAAGTTCTTTTCATTAGATTCGAAACTGCCCACTATAAGGCTAATGAATCAGGTCCGAAAGAGTAAGTGAAAATATCTGCAGGGGACACATTAATCTTACATCAAGAATAAAAGCGCAGAAACTAAACCAAACTCACAATCTTGTATAAGACTTATGCAAAGATAATGAACTTTTATATCCTTACATCTATGAAATGAACAGTAGCTTCTTACACTAAGAATAAAGTCTCAAAAGCTGAACTAAACTCTCAAATTTGTATATGCGATATGCAAAGATAACGAACTTGTACATCTCTACGTTATGAAATGAACCGGTAACTATTTCATCAAGAAAGAAAACAACCTTATCAACATCGACCTGGAAAACTAAACTACGAGATTTATCCATTTAAATCCCGCTCTCTCGTCAAGTAAGATGGTTATCCATCCAATGAGTTGACGCTAAACACAGACCTGGAACCTAAGCTCCAGACACAACGTGAGTACCACCAATACAAAAGACCATGAAGAACTGGATTCTTGATTCAGGTCGGGATGGGCTGGACCCCTGGATCAGGACCCTGATCCAAGCCCTCAACCTAACTCAGCTAGTTTAAGACCTGATTTGGACATGGACTTGACCTGTCATCACGCACATTTATATGTACGAGAGAATTCTTTGAGCTGACCAGCCTATAGGCCATGGCGCTATATAGGAGATCGGCCAATATTGAAGGAGAAGGCACAAAATGGACCGCCAAAAATGGTGGACTTTTACTGTGTAAACCAAATTTTACTTTTTTAAATGGTATATTTTGATGAGGTGTACATGTACACAACATTTGATTTCATCATAATGTTACTTCTACTAATGCATGTCTATCTATTTTTCCTTTGATCTTGATCACCGGTCCAGTCCAAGTGTCGAGTCCTGGCTCTAAAAATTGTAGAGCTAAGGTCAACAGATAGGGCTCAAGGGCTAGGCCAATGCCAAAGTCAGAATAACACTTCATCCTGTCCCGGCCCTATTGGAGCCTTTTTTTTATTTACTATTTTTCCTATATTTTTGTCGAGTGGCCCAGTGCAAATAGGGCCATGGCCTCTTTGGCCCAGCCAAGTTCGGGCCGAGCCGTTATGGCCCGTTACTAGCCCTACCCAAGTGCTAGCAAAATAGCATAACATCAAGGGAAATGTTCTATGTGACCCTAACAACATATAAGTTATACGTGATCCCACTTCTGAGCCGTTGGATCTGAATAGAACGGTTACAATTATTCATACCACAATGTCAACACTGTTTTATTTTTCATTTATGTGCTATAAAACTTTTTTTTTTTTATGAAATTTTGGACTTCACATCAAAAAAATAGGGCTAACCTGGAAAACATAAAACAAATATATTTGATGTAAAAATAAATGACCAAAATACCCCTACAAATTTGAGGGGTATTTTGGTAATTTTTCTCACCAGAATATTTTTTGTATATTTTTATCATGTGTGCCCTTGCTAGATCTGTGTATGCTCCAAATTTTGCTTGAAAATTATTTATATAATAAAAATAAAAAATAAAATACTATGAGCTACTTGATCAAGATCTAACGATTAAATACTAGCTTGTGACATTGTGACTCAAGCCATTACTCAAATCTTATGGCTAAGGCCAAAAGTCACATATGCTATATATATATATGGGTGGGGTCACTCCAAAAAATATTTTTAAGGTACAAAAATATTCAAGAGAAGGGTAGTAACCTGGTCCTGCCTAAAGAGGGCGGAGGGGTGGGCTGGAAATGAACCTAACATTTGGCTTATGCAGGGTTATGGGAGGGGTGGGCTGGAAATGAGCCTAACATCTCTCAAGACTTGAACCTGCGTTAGCTACCTGAGCTTTGTACCATCACACCAAGTGACGACTTTTAATACACATTCAAATGATTTAAATATCCTATTGCATTCCTGGACAATGGTGGGAATATTTTAATTATTTTAAATTTAATATTTTATGTATTTTATTTTATTTTCAGTCTTGTGGCACAAATGCCCTAAATATTTCACCCATCAGATTAAAAATTAAATAAAAAATTAAATTTCAAAAGGGTGGGACTCAAAACTATCAAATTAAGGCGCAATTAAAAAATGCACTGGATGTGTTGATGCCCACAAATCTTCAAATCAATCATCGACCTAAGATGTATGAACATGAAAAAAATGGATTTCAAGTCTTGAAAATAATGTATCTTGTAATACTTTTTCTGAACTATCAATTTCAAGAGTATTAATAGACTTGCTTGATTAACACTAGTTTTGAAGCTTTAAATTTTATATATATGAAAATAAGTTTTCAAGTTATCATAAAAAAAATTTAGTACTGAAATAACATTTTTCGACAATATATTTGTACTTATTTTGATTGTTTAGGACCTACGCCCTATACAAACCGCACCCAAAAAAAAAAAGGGTAAATAGAATTTAGTATACACATGGTCCTGAACCACCGGAGTCTGACCAAGCCCGATGGTCCGCTTTGAAAGTCCAGACTAGTTGATTAGGAGGTCCAACACAGACAATTTAAGCCAACTCGGGTTTACTCCCTAATTGGGAGAGAGCGAGAGAGAGGAATGGCAGCCATTACAAGCGCTCTGATCGCCATTGCTGGTATTGGGTTGGCATGGCTGGCCATGGAGATCGCTTGCAAGCCCTGCCTCGAAAAGGGCCGTGAAGCCATTGATCGATCGCTAGACCCCAATTTCGATCCCGACGATCGCGACATACACACCCCTCTCAACCAACCACAACAGTCCACTGTCGATGAAGAAGCCCCTTCAAAGCCCGCAGTTTGATCCGTCCCACCCAATGCTGCAATCACCCAATGCTGCAATCTCAATGGCCTGTTTAGCATCGATTTACTTTGCTTCTCTCTCTAGCTTAGATGTGCTGTGGTGTGTCTCAAGCATTTTGGGTCTGTAGTGTTTTGCCTGCATTGATTGTCTTCTCTCTCTAAGGTTTATCAGGTTTGCTCACACTTAAGATGATAATTTTGCTTTTTAATCGGTTGACTATTATATATATATATATCAGAAATATAAATTTCTTAGAATGTTTGCAGATGATTTGAATGCTAGTTGAGCTTTTCTCTGCGGTGCTCCTCTTAACTGATAGTAAAAGCAAACCCAAAACTGTTGAACTTTTCCATATGAAGCAAATCCTTTGGATCATGCCCTAAGACCTTTTGACAAAACCAATTTAGAAACCACCAGATTAACATCTGCACTGACTAGCAACATAAGATTTGCAACTTGTTAAAGTTAAACTTCAAAGCCGCTAACCATTGAAAAAATCACCTCTGGAGTTACTGAATTTTCAAATCTTGAAAAAATGTGTGTATGTGTGTGTGTGTATGTGAGAGTCAGAGAGAGAGAGAGACGGAGTGAGGGAGTATACATGGGCCGAACATGTCAAATTTTTAGGCTGATCCTGACTATTGAAATTAAAATGGCAAACCTCAAATCTTTATCATGCAAATTCACAATGTATCTTGGAAGCCCCTCAAAAAAATTAGAGCTATCTTCGGCTCACTTTTCTACCTCATATAGTTTACCACTCTAGAATACATTTCAAATTCAGCTTTAAAACACATGTAACTATCAAAATGCATTGAAAAAGTAGCACTGTTGCCTGTAGACTATCTTCATGTCTATCATTACATTTTTTTTTCAAAATAAAAACTTAGAAACCTAGACTCCCAGAGAAATATCATGTAGGTTTAGCTAGATTGTGACTCAATTTAGAAAGAAAAATTCAAAACACAGGTTCATTCACATGTGATTCATCTTTAGCACATTTTGTCAACAGGCAAGCAAGAAAAGCGAAAGTGTAAATAAGATACAGAAAAACCTGAAATGGACAAAAGCAAACCTAAAATAGATATAGAAAAGGAAAAATAATCCATAAGACTGTTTACTTTTGTTAAAGAGTGACAATCACGCATAACTGCCATGTGAAATCAGCTTGCTGGGGTTTGCCATTTACCCTACACTCTTGAGGAACTTTATCTAGAGAAATTACACCTCTAGCCGACCAATTTTAAATAAGATGGCTTGGGGTGATTTTGATGTCCTTGCACCAAAAGGGTAACAGTCTTCCAGTATACAATCCCGATAAAAAAACCTCACCATTCAAAATCATAAATTAACAGTGTGAAAGGTAGTAAAAGGAAGAGGTATTCCCGTACAGTTGTTGCTCATTTCTTCATAACAGATTATCTTAAAGCAGGCAAATCCAATAATGTAATGACTCTCAGTTATATTAAGGGGCACTGTTAGCCAAACCAGATAAAAGGTTAATGAAAGCTGCTGTCAACATGCGGCCTGAAATGAGTTCATATCAGATAGGATAACTCTTAAAAAGAGATGTTATTGAGTTTATGAATAAGCAACTTCATATTAACACGGTCCCTAACCTTTGCCGACGCACATCGTAGAATGGGTTTCCCCGCAGGGGAGATTCGGGACTCCATCACCCCTCTACGATGGCTGCACAGCTGGGCTAGGTGAGAAGACTTATCCGCCGATTTCCTACTTTGGGGAGTACCGCTCCGTAGTGAAACGGCGTACCCCAGCCGCACACTTCCTGGGCAACACGAACCTATGGACCTCCCTCAAGGGCCAGCCCGCCAGGTATGGCACCGTAAGGCCTTTCTCTCCTTAGTTGTGGTAAGTGTTCCGCTGTCACTATCTCTTCTAAGAAGCGGTTCTGTCACTATCTCTTCTAAGAAGCGGTTCGATTCTAAACTTAGCACACAGGTCATCTTCAGGTGTACGCTGCTTGCAGCACTCACTCCAAAGCCAGGCGGCCCACTTCTAAAGCTACAATAAGCAGGGAAACATAACACGTTAACTAAAACAGCTGCTCGAAACTCCCTTTTTTTTTATGAGGTTTCTGTGGCCATAACCTTATTTGGTTCATAACAATGGGAACGCACAAAGCTAAGAACTGGGATTGCCACTGTTAAAACTAACCGAATAAATTCATATATTTTCAAGACAGAAACTAATCTGATCTACCGATACATTTTACTTTTAATTGTAATAAAAAATTCATGCATCTATGTACAAGATTGTACAAGTGTGCGAAGTGCATAATGCAAAAAGAAGGAAAGAGGTGAGAAACCGCAAGATAACCTTTAATTTTCATTCAGTTTCTTCAGACACGTTGTCAGCCATACCTTGACCTCGAACATCTTCCATTTCATCATGCCCTTCTTCATTCTCATCATCCCTGTCAGCATGCACTTGAGAACTCACCACCTGACCCAAGAGGTCTTTGTGTTTCAAGTTGCCTGCCGCCCACCCAAGTTCCACATCAGAGAACACGGGGAATAAAATTTCAAATGTGAAAATATATACTATATGCAATGTGCTATGGTTTTCCCATGGTTTAATGGATTCTAGTATATTTTCTCTTGGAAAGTAACAACGAACAGAACAGAGTTAAATAAAGAGATACTAAATTTCTTAGCCACTGCATCAAAGCATTAAGTTTGTAAAACTTAAGGGTTCATAACAGGAGGAAAATTTGCATGAAATTGTATGCTCTGATGCATGCACAGCTCGTTTCTGTGCATGCTGAAAGTGCAGCATATGCACACCATCTTAACAAAAGTGTGAAGGCAAATCAATAAGCAGGATAGGTTGGAAGTGTGCTCAAATGCTAGAACATGACAAGAAAGAAAAATGGGTTCAAAGTTCATAATGAAATGGTGCAGACCCATCCAGAAAGAGCACCCATTGGACACATTGTGGAACAGAGCCTTGACTTGAAAGAGGAAACGTTCCATTGATCTCTTTACTGTAGGTATCTTGCTTGTGATCATCGTCCGCTTTGACCCCTGAATACAGCTACCAATGATTAAAACAGATAAAAAATGACAAAAACATTTTAGAAGTACCAAGACATCAAGATCATAAAGTCTGACCTTGGCATCAGAGCAGAGGAACTGAATGGTTCTTGTGGCCTTCTGAAGCTCCTTGAACTGCAAACAAATTGGTCAAGCAAGAACTGCTGTTAAGAAATCAGATACCAATGATAGGGGTCTCCTTATCTGCTAAGTTATCATGGCATAAGGGCTATGGCACTGACATCCTGGCTTCAAATCCCACCTCACCCACCCCAGAGAAAGACATAAAAAATACCAGCGATCAGCAGATTCAGATACCAAAGCCACCCCCCCCCCCCCACCAAAAGAAAAAAGAAACCCCTTTCTGCCAAAAAAAAGATAGAAAATAAAAGAAAGATCACGTCTCTTAAAAGAAAGATCATACGTCTCTTACCATTTGAATTATTGTGTCGCTGTGTGCATCAAAGTGGACTTTTAGAAAGTCAAAGACTGCAATATATAACCACATTAGTGCCTCCCGACCACATTTTAGAGAAATCCACCACCATTTTAAGCATACAAAATCTTTTACCTTTTAAGAAGGAATCCACAAACCTCCCAGTATATCTTACTGCCATGGCATGCACGAATACCTGGAAAGAGAAGTACATAAGTTATATGATTTACTCAATTTTGAAAAATACTCAATTTTGAAAAATAAACCCAAAGTTCTTTATGGTGAGTATTTGGCTACCTTGTCATGCGTCTTGCACATATTGACCAATGATACGATTACGTCAACAGATTGGCGTGCTTTGGCCAATGATCTCTCTATTGCTTCTCCACCTACAATAGTTCTGGACTTTTGCTGTGTACCGATTTCCCTTATCTACATATAGTGAAAAGGAATAAGCCAACACCACTCCATCAGTTCAAACCTTTTAGACCCAATACGTAATCTGTGGTACTTTAACAAAAGGAATCTTACGACATACCAACTTCTTGAGATTTGCAATATTTTGCTCATGCTGCACACATGGAATTTTTTAGTAAAATCCTCAAAAATGAATAGTGAACATTGTAGATTAAGGAGAAGAGAATTTAGAACCACCAACCAGTACACGATACCAGACAGCAAGCACACCAGGGCTAAGTGTTGGGAAGCTGGAAACATAGTCCTGCCCAGTTCTACTCTTGCCAGAAGGGACCTACAAGAGAATCAAGCTTATAATCTTTAAGCGTGAACTTGTATGATAGAGAAGTGATCATAACTGATATCAAATGGGACCCATCCAATATATTTTTATTTTTCTTTTAGAATATAAGCCCCATCCAATATTCTATACTTACAATGGCAAGTACTAGAACATAATAGAAATTTTTTCGTTAATATGTTGTGTTAGTATTTATTGCATCATTTGTGAGAATCTCAAAATTATTCCTTGACCTCTATACACCCATGTACAGGTGAAGCGGATATGAGAATAAAATAATTTAAGAATATAAATGAACAAAAAACCCTTCACACGTGATAAAAAATAGCAAACACATTGATGAATGAGGACAATAATGCAATAATCGAACCTTCAATATTGTCAGATTTCAAAAAGCAAAATTGGACAGGCTCTCTAAAACCCTCCAGGTCAAATAAATTTAAATCCACAAGCAGGTTTTTATGTAAATATTCAAAACTTCCACACAGTGAGCTTCAAAGACGTGTAGAAAAATCAATCGAATCAATGAGCATATGAACTACCATTGCTAAAGGATGATATTGAAATCACACCTGCGGTATGATTTTGCAGGCAAGTTCATTCACTAAATCAAATGTGCAGTCACTATAGTCCAAGTAAATCTGCAATATGTTCTGAATTGTTTCTCCCTGTAACAAAAGATATAGCAAATAAGCCAAAATATGGGACAACGAAAATGGTGTTGCCGCTGTATAAATGCATACACACAGGTATCTGTGTGTGTAGAGAGAGAAATGCAACCACACACATACACACACACAGTTATAAACAGAACGCAACTTAAAAAAACAATCCTCCAAAAAACTGTAAACAGTATTTTACTTTGCTCTTTGAGTCTTTCTCGAGATCCTCAGCATCCCATTCATGTGCTAGAAGCCTTTGTGCACAAGTTCCAAGCCTTCTGCTGAGAACTGGAATAATGCTTGGAAGAGATTCTATACAATTTTTGACATTTCCTTCCGATGACTTCTCAAGCAATAACTGAGTGGAACTTACAAGTGATTTGAGAGTAACTAGAACCTCCGTTGCCAGCAAAAATGAGAATGAGCATGCTGGAAAGAACACATAGCCAAAAAGGATTTTAGGAGCCATCAATTTTTACCAACCTCATCCTAGATTTCATGAGGCTTACGTAATGATTAATACCAGCAGAATACTTGCCTAAGTTCAAAACTCCATCAAGGAAAGCATAAGCGCCACAATACAAATACTCCAAGCTTCCGGAGGATGGTAGTGGTTGGATATCAGAAAAGAACTCATCTGGTATTCCAGCGGGTTGTAGTGCCTCAAGCAGATCTCTCAGAATTGAAACATTCATCTTGGAGCATAAGTCATCAAAGCTCAGAATCTACAGAAAGAAGATATTGAGAGATTAATGAAAGATACAATAGATTTTAGAAGTGTAACATTTATCAATTACCTTAGCATAGCAGCACAATATCTCCTTGAATATAGAACCAGCTACTGAAGATCTTGAAACCATCTCGTAACTTATATCTGGGTTTCCAGCTGATTTACATTCATTTTTCCAGTGCTCACCACAGCTGTCATTTCCTGGATAATGGAAAATTACAGTCAACACGTGTATTTTCCTTCTATTACAACCGATGAAATACGACCCACCATGTGCAGATATCAACTAACCTTCTTTGAGAACACAAACAGCACCATCAAGATGTTTCTTAAGGCTTGAAAATAACGGCCTCATCTTGTTCATAAATTCAATGATGGACAGCCCATTCAGACCAGATGGAGCCTTGCAATTTGGTGAAAGAACAGTAAAAAATGATTTGTTTCGAGGACTCTCAAACTCAAGTTTGTAGTTGAAATCACGGACAAGATACAGATGCAGTCCCAGCTATTATGGGAACCAAATGTTAGACAGTATAACCTTCGACAAAAGTCGACATTTTCACCTCAGAAAAAATAAGGGAAGAAAAACAAGGAAACCCTTCTCAAAGAGGAAAGGTATCATTAAGGGAGTATACCTCGGCTGCAGGATCTGAACAACAAGACCCCTTCGCCTGCAGTCAAAAATAAATTATAAAAAAACTGCTTCCAAGATATTATTTGCCAAATAAATATCAAGTTACTTATATCTTGCTGGAAGCATAGTACAGATAGATTACAAGAAAAAAAATTTAACTTCTTTTAAGGCCAGACATACTATCGATCTAGAAAATTTGTACATGATTGGAAAATAAAGAAATAAATGAGTACCATTTGGCAGACACAAACCATAAATAGTGGAGAAAAGCGACAACCTAGTATCCAGTAGTTGACTACATGAACAGAGTAATACTTGTTTCCATTGCAAAAGACTTACATAGTGGTCCTGAGATTACTGTACAGGCCCATTTAATAGCACCCAATCTACAGTAATAAACTTAGAATTATATCAGTTTTAATGTGATTACAAGGGTAACTATTGAGAACCGAAATGGGCAAGATAGTTTTACATGACATGGATAAAAGGAGCCTGTAAATTGGAATGGACATCAGGAAAGAGCACAAGACTTGCACAATAACAAAAACACATTTCTAGAAGAAATATGTCAAGAAGTACAACTATTATGCATCCAAATGATGCGAACAAAATCATTACATCATGCATGCATCACAAGAAGTGATAAAATATACAAACCCTTAAACCTTGATGCTCAGACATCCAAATTAGCCCATAATCTTAAAAACAAGTAGAACAAGAGAATAAAGGACATAGGCACCCCAACATAATATGAGGAAACACAAAAGAATCAGCAATAACCTCCATAACTGAATGCTACTTAGGAGATCAGTAATGAGGCAACTCTACATTTCCCCTCACGGCAGTTGCTTCAAGCACAATCTCCAATGAGGGAATATCTTGGTTTAGTGCACTTGACTTTTTCCAATCCAAAGAAGAAGGTCAAAGCTTTGAGAAAGGATAGAAATCTCTATGCTAGCGAGCAATACTTTATTTCGAAAAATTTGAGTTAATTTCTTTGCCAATATTATAAGAAGACACCATGACACCATAGTTTTTTTTTTTATAATGTTAACCTTCAATTGATAAGAGGGAAATATACAAAAGACCTTGGCAATCCATAAGCAGGGATGCTCAACGGATAGAACCAACAAAAAGCAGAATCAGAATCCTCTTTTAAGAGGTTACAGTGAGGCACATCAACCTAGGAAAATAGGTTGATTCGCAAAACAAAGGAGAAGGCCAAAAACCCAAAAAATACTAGTTGTTAGCCATTGCCGCCGCATCTTTTGCTAGGGAGTTAGCATCCTAATTTCCTTCCCTCCAAGTATGCATCCACACAACAGATGTATTCCTGCAAAGATCATCAATTTCGTCAAAGACGTGTGCCAAAGACCAAGGAGGGGAGGAAGAAGAAGGACTTTGTGCCCATGGTGTTCTTGGAGTCTCCCTCCACTACAAGCGAATGCAGTTGAAAGGGTTGTGTGAGTTTCAGGCCTTCCAAGAGGGCTATTGCTTCAGCCTCCATGGAGTTTTTGTGGTTCATATGTTTGGAGGTTGAGGCCACGATAGTACCGATGGACTTCCAAAGGAGAATCCTGGCCTTGTGCCAAGGGTAAGGATGAATAGAGATGATGATGGAGGTCACCGTGGCTGGTATCACCCATTGCACATTGAACAATTTGAGGATCGATCCCCAAATGTTGAAAGCAAAGGACAGTTCAGTAGAAGATGGTTGGTCTCTTCTGCTTCAAGACACATGACACATGGATTAGGAATTGGAGTCCCTCTTCTTTGTAATTGATCTACAGTGAGTACTCTCTTGGAGAGGGCCAACCATGCGAAGATCTTGATTTTGGGTGGTGCAAAAGATGTCCAGGCCTTGGCTGCGAGTGCGATGGGATCTAGAGGGAAGGTTGGTGGAAGATTTAGGCTATGGTAGAATGAGGAAACAGAGAAGGTTCCCGTCAAGGACGAAGACCAAATGATACGATCTTGACCCGTAGGGGGTAGGAAGTGGGATTGCAGTTCTGCCGTTAAGGTGGCAAAGCTATCAATCTCAAGAACCATGAGAGGCCTTCTGAAGGTAGGATTCCATGAGCAATGTGCTCCGGCCGAAAGCATTTTTGAGCTACCGATGCCACTTGGTTTCTGACCAAAGAAAAAAGATCGGGGAATCTATCCCGGAGAGGAGTATGACCCAACCAAAGGTCATATCAAAAGAGGATTCGATTTCCAGCTCTTGGGTGAAATCTGATGCTAGATTTGAAGGCATGGAATGTTGAGCAAATTGACCTCCAAATACCTGATGACCTCTGATTGGGTCTAAAATTCGGCAGCCAAGGGGAGTTCGGGAGATGATATTTGTGTTTAAGGATGTCAATCCATAACTAATTATTTTGGGTAGACAGTCTCCAACTCCATTTGCCAAGGAGCACCATGTTTTGAGTTCTGAGATTCTTAATTCCCAGACCTCCCCTATTCTTGGGCTGCCGAGGTTTATCCCAGGCAATCAAATGGAATTTGTTGCTTGAATCATCTCCTGAAAAGAAAAATGTCCTCATTAGTTGTTCAATTCTAGAGCTTACTGCGACTGGCATGTGGAAGATGGACATTTGGTACAGCAGGATATTGGCAAGAGTGGCTTTGATTAAAGTATGCCTTCCCCCCAGAGAGAGAGCGCCCTTTCCAGCCTGCTAATCTGCGGTCCACTTTGTCCACTATGTGCGACCATAGTCTCTTTTTGGGTTTGCCTAAGCAAAGAGGAAGACCTAGGTATTTGGAGGACAAAGTCTCTACCCCACAACCCCAGCTATTGGCAAACTCCGAGAGGGTGGTAGAATCAACATTGACCCCTAGCATATCCGAAGCCAGAAGTGAATTGGCAAGGTTTTCTCACTTTTTACTCCAAAAAAGTTACAATCCAATTGCCTATTAGTTTGTTATAGGAAATCAATTTAACAATGCAATTAATCAATCAATCTGAGTAGGAGAAAACCCACCTCTAGGAGCCTAAAAACAAGAGCATGATAATTTCCTAAATTATGTAACTTCATATAAAAGGGAAGATGAAAGCTTATGTGGAGTAGGCTGGACAAGCCATAGCAAGGATTAGGCTTGGTTTGATTGGTGAGGTGTTGAAAACTGCAACACTAAATTCCAAGCCATAGAATTAGAGCTAGGTGGGCAAAAGTGGAGATGCGCATCTAGAGGTTTATGTGATGGCAACAACCAATAAAACTAAAGGGGAAGGAAGTTTTATAGGACAGTTGTAAGACCAGTCATGCTTCATGGGACAAAATATTGGGCAGTCAAGAAACAATATATTTATAAGATGCGGGTAGCTGAGATGAGGATGTTGAAAAGGATGAGTGGCAAAACAAGAAATGCTAGAATTCGAAATGAATACAAAAGAGGGAACTTCGAGGTGGCTCCAAGAGGCGATAAGAAGAGGGAACATAGACTCAAATGGGATAGCCATGTGCAACATAGACAAAATACAACACCGATTAGGAGGGAAAAATTGGTTTAAGTGGGAGGCTCTAAAAGGGTAAGGGGAAGGCCCAAGAGGACATGCATGAAAGTAACGACAAGAGATATGGTGACTTATGGACTGACTGAGGCTATGACCCTTGATGGAGCAAAATGGTAGAATAGGATTCATTTGGCCGACCCCAAATGGGATAGCTCAGATGATGATGATGATGATATTCTAACTCAAAAATCCCACAAATACCCCAAAAAACGACTCGTAGCAAGAGAAAAGTGGCAATGATTTTAACAATGATGATTTTGTTTCATGGGCGAATGATGATGGAGACGAATCTGAAGACTTGAATGATGTGAGCTTAACTAAAATTTCAATTGCAAAATACCACTTTTCAATATTGGACTTTTTTGTTATGGATTTAAGGGATCATATTGTTGGGGTCTAGAACACTGAACCTTGCGACCATGGGGGGATCAGCCATTGTCCAAACATCAAGTTGTTCGAAGTTGTTTGAAAACAATATGGTGGTCTGGAGCTTTACATTCTAAATTGACAAACTATCATGTGGAGCATGAATTTGAATTGAATTATCAACATTTGGTAGACAAATAAATTTCAATAAGTTATTGATAAAGATATACAATTGGTCTCTTTGGTTTAAGAAGGATGATGTGTTCTTTGAAATATAATCTTCAAAGAATGGAGGTTTTCCTTAAAATGTGCAAGTTTCTATAAAGGTATAGTCATAACTCAATAAATTAATTGCACATACTACTAATAATCAGTGTTTGAAAAAGCGCTAGGCAAACAGGAGGATCCAGGCCACCCAACGCCTAGGCGGGTGCCCAGAACCTAGGTGAACCAGTCGAGAAAAATTTTTTTTTTTTGGGTTTTTCTCTCTCTAAAATAGGCTCTAATAGGTTTTAGGTTTCAAATGAACCTAAACCCCACAATTTTGCCCCTTTAATATTAAGAAAAGGCCCTAACCAAGGGGCATTTCCGCCCCTGGGCATGGCAAAAGCCCTGAGTAACCACCTAGACGAATTCCCGGGCCCCTAGGGATATCCGCCTAATTTGACCGCCTAAGCCTGGGTGATGTGCCCATGCCTTCTGGACCGCCTGGCAATCGCCCAGGCGCTGGGCGGTCCGCTTTTTAAATCACTACTAATAATTTAGTGAATCGATTACATATTGAAAGTGGACGATGTAAACTAGCACGGTTTATGTAGTTTGAAATTTTCTTTTGTGATACCGACTAGAACACCTACATATGTCCAAATATTTCAATTAAAACTCAATTAAAGTAAAACAAATACAATAAATGAATTCTCACTTGTTACCACTTTCAAAACTGTTCACTACATAATCAAATTACATCAAAAGAGATCTGGGAGCAAGAAAACAGAAAACAAGTAAAAGCACCAAAAGATTACCTTTAATGGACTTTGCACACCCCACACCGAGTCTCCTCCTCCAATAGCACATGGGATCTAAGTCTTTCTTGAATCTCAGCAAATGGGAAGTAATGCCAAACCCTTGCTTAGTATTAGAGAGCATGCACTCAATATGGGGCCCCTCTGCTTTTCACACTATGCAGGGCGTGCCCCTTTGTTTCACAAGCCCTAGGGTGTGTCCCCCCCCCCCACCCCCTTCTTGCTTTCTTAGTTTCTATGTGAGAGAGAGAGAAGAGTAGAGGGAGAGAGAGAGAGCTCAAGTCTAGGCTTATGCCTTTGAAGACCCCCTGTTGTGATGTTTATATAAAAATGAGGCTAGGGTTAGGGTTTTTTAGGGTTTGGCATCCTTATGAGATTCCATCTAAACCATTGAACAAAGGTGGTATGTAATGTGAGAGATCTTAACCATACAATCCATAGATCATCCATCAGCTAGAACCTTATCCCTCAGCTTCCTTAACCTAATCCCATCAAATATTAAGTGTAGAGAAAATATTACAAGTCCTTCCTTTCATCTTCAATCAATCTCTACTTAGTCCATTTTTTTTTAAAACAATTAGCCTCTTTTTCAAAACATTCTTATTTCTCTCAAATCAACTTGCTTGACTTAATGCACAAGGCACAATTTCAGAAGGTGAGAAAATTGGGGCGTCCCACCCTTTCTCGTATAGTGGGCCCCACACCCATACGAAGGTGGGCCAAATATGGTGCGCCCTTATGTATTATGGGCCCCCATAGTAATTAAGTAATTTTAAAACTTATAAATGATTTTTAGAAAATCATTAGTATTTTTATTTTCTCTCTGAATATTTAAAAACCTGAAAATGCAGTTTAACCTTATTTAAAAATCAATTGTGATGAAATAAAATATCTAAAGACTAATAAATTTTATTTTAATATTTTAAAAATCATTTAAAACAAAATTTATTATTTCTAAATTAATTTGATGGGAATCAGATCCACCTTCGATAAGGAAAATACGACAATACTGAGGCACTCCATCTCTACTGGTGACTATATCCCACACTCACTTTCTCAAATTGACCCATGACCCACGATCCATCACAAGGGTTCATGATTGGACTACCAAAGCCAGTCAATAGATGATGAGAACACAATCTCAATCTTTGGACTACAGGTTCCCCCCTAAGAACAAGCGTAGGTCACACAGACCTGTGCACACTCATCGCAATTGGTGCTTGGGGGCTATTTTTAGCACATGTACATGTAACACCCTCAATGGTGTCTACTTCTTAATACGACTATCATATGTACATGTCATGTGATGGTCATGATAAGAATTTGGCCTTTGTCCCTTCAGGCCTACCACTCATACACAAAGATCACAAAGTCCTTTGGCCAACTACCTTGAGTATCTCTTCAACCTCATCAAGTGTTAACCTTGCAAACCCTTATGGGTTGTGTTATATGCCCAGGTATCATAGAGTTGTAGAACTCAACTCAACCTAGCCTGTCAAGCCCAGTTTGAGTAATGGCCATAAAAAACAATAACACATTATATACGCTTACTTACAAATGTTTTATCCATTTAGGGCTTGTGTGGATGACAGTTAATATTATATATGCTTACCTACAAGCTCTCGTAGGGCTTTTAAATGGCCATAAAAAACAAAACATATTATATATTCTTACCTACAAATGTTTTATTCATTTAGGGCTTGTGTGGATGATAGTTAATATTATCAGGAGTAGACTATCTTATCTGAAATTAAAAAAGGAGTAGCCTATCTTATCTGAAATTAAAAATTGTGGTAGTTGTTTAGTACCTCATCATCATCATGTTAGCCTTTTTCCAATTAATTGGGATCGGATACATGAATCCTGGTTCTCCATTCAGCCCACATTCAGGATATGGCTTTTAATAGAGGGGAATGGAGAACCAGAATTCATATAGCCGACCCCAATTAATTGGGAAAAGGCTAAAATGATGATGATGATGACGTACTAGACAACTAACACAATTTGTTTAGTACCTATCATGATTATTTAACTTTTTTGAGGATTTTTCAGCCATTTTTAGTTATTTTGGGTTAAAATACATCATTTTCAACAAATTACTTAGTATAAAGTCAAAACTTATTTAAAAAAATAAATTTATATGCAAAACTAACTATAAGTTTATAAAAGATAATTTATGAGGGACACTGCCAACCAAAAATTAATTCATTATCAATATTAATTTCATTGAAACTAGTGAATTACGAATGATACAAGTACATTGAAACAAGCTCTAAATGGTTATGCAAATGTACAAGATAACATATTTCTTTATATTATGGTTACCCACAAAACATAATTGTGTGGGGATGCTGCACTATTAGCATTGGTGTAAATGCATTAGTGGCAGTCCTTAAATCATGACCATGCAATGGGGTCAAAAAGATGGGAATATCCCTTTCAATCTAGAATGCATAATGTCACTTCTTTGTGCCATTTGTCATGTTAGCATGGATAAGGGCAATGGAAAAATATACCTCGTAGACTGCCAATGCCACAAACTGCGCAATAATCCATTATGGACAATTTCCAAACCAAAGCCTAAATTATATGCACAAGATACTATACAATAAGAAATATATTTTTCATATTGTACTTGCTACATCCACACACAAACAAGAAAGATAGGCAGTCACCTACCTACATGACCCCAGGTGAGACAATCCTAACTCGATTAGGAAGACCTTTGACCACAATTTATACAGATAAGTGCATTGTCCAAAAGTTTGTTTTCTTCTTTTAATAATCATTTTCCAAAGCTTTGATGCACCAATGAACTTATCAAATAACATTCCTATGCCTCTAAATGATAGTCATACATAATCTTTCTCACGTTAATATGAATATACGAAATATCAGTTTAGCAACTGTAAGCCATTTGGAGATGCCACTACAATAAGAAAGTTTCATAATTTACCATTACAACAAAAGAGAGTAAAATGAAGGTGCATATCTACTCCTTATGCATACATTAGTAGAATTCTTAACATTATAGAGTAACAGATTGCTCAACTATATAGGATCAGATTTCATAGTTTACACATTATGACAGTAGATGGAAAGAAAACTGAAATAATATTACACTCTGACACTACTGCAACAAGTTATATAATAAGAATTCAACTATATAAGATCAGATTACATAGTTTACACATTATGACAGTAGATGGAAAGTAAACTGAAATAATATTACACTCTGATGCTACTGCAACAAGTTATATAATAAGAATATCAATATTTCCAAATATGCACAAGCAAACACACCTTTGAAAGAGACAAAACTGACAAGCAGTTGACAAGTAGAGGCCTAAACTTAAATCTTTGTGCATCTAAAACCATTGGGGCTGCAGATGTTTGTAAATGGGTGAGCTCATTGAAATCAAAGTTCTGGCTTTCACCATCCTCTGTTGTACTTTCTTTCGATGCGTTTGTTGAGGAACACTCCTTCGATGCTTGCTGGCTTATAGTGATCCCTGCTCGTTTAAAGGAATCCAAAATGGTAGGCTGCTTGAGCCTTGAATCAACATCCGAAACTTGGGAGACTGCTGACTTTTTTTTGGTTTGTTTCTTTCCGTTCTTATCTGAAACAATTTTCGTTTCATCTTGATTTACTTTACTTTGTAAATGGTAATACTTTCCATACAAAGAATGTCCAGAATGCTCCATAGAAGAGTGGAGCACAGGCAGGGAAATAGGGCATGATTTGAGGCAGGCATTCAACAGGCTTTCCAGAAAACTGCAAAAAAAAATAGAAGAGCTTCAGACTGAAGTTGTTATAGCACCATGGTCTTGTATTTATGATAAGTTTCAAAAGTACATCAGTTGCACATCTTGTGGACTATGTGTTATCACAATCTCTTCATACAGCAGTAATTGGATTAAATATATTGACTGTACTGTTATCTTGAGCAAGGTCCACGGAAAAGGATATTTAAATCTATAGTTTCCGAGATGGCCACGAATTTATTGGTTTGATGGCATACATTAAAAAGGCCGTTGATAAGAGCACAGTAGGGGAGGCCTATGTCTACCTCACCAATCATGGCCACGACCCCTCACCCGAAGACCGATCCAAGCAGTCAAACCTCATGGTTGAATCACTTCATGTCCAACTCTTTGAGACCTCTGAGAAACTGGGATCGAAAAAGGTTGTCAGCTCCTACCACGAGAGTAAGGCTGCTCGCCTTCTAGGGGAAGTGGAAATGCTGACCTCTAGGCTCGATTCTGTGAAGGCCGTCACTCAAGACCTTACCTCTGAGCTTGCATGGATGAGAAGCGTTTTTGGCCGAGGGACTGAAACTGGAGCCAGCCAGCAGTGTAGTTGAGCCGGCTCTTAGTGCATCCACCATGGTGGACCAAGCAACCTCCCTTGCCTCTTATGGATACCACACTCGTTTTTGGTTGCTTTTGCATATTTTTTTTTTTGGTGTATGATGTACATTGCCCTCTGTGGGAATTATAATGGGAAGTTCGTCTCTTCTTCAATCTTGCCTCTTGTGGCTTTCTTCTCTCCACTCTCTCACTCCTCTTCTGTCCTATTCTCTTTTTTGGTTTTCTCCCTTTTGGGCCTAATTAGCCACTCTCTCTCTCCTTGCCTCCATCTTCTCCTCCTCCATAATGAATTTAGTAAATATTTATGAATGTCCTTATTTGCTAATTTGTTGGGAGCGTGTCTTTTATTTTTTTCATCATTTGCATTTTATTCCTTATACCTAATTATTCACCAATGAATATTTTGATCTTCTTTTTGTTTTGTATACCCAGGTTGCTATCTTGGAAACTAACTCTAAATTAGGCACTAGTAGGGATGGGTGGGAGAATGAGGTGAGGGGGGTGAGAAATGTAGCAGGATGAGAGGATGATGGGAGAGAGAGAGAGAGAGAAAGGGAGGGATGTGGTGAAAGTAGGAAAGAGGGGCGAGAGCAAAACAGAGAGACATAGGGGGGATCAGAGGAGGGGGGGTGGGGGGCAAGGAGCGGTATTGGTGAAAGAGGAAGCAAACAAGAGGTATCGAAGGGAGCAAGTGAGATAGAGGATTGTGAGGATAAGGGAGGGTGGGAGAGAGAGAGACAGTAGGAAGCCAGAGAGTGAGGGTAGGCCATGATGGAGGGATAAAAAGAATTGGCTAGTATGGGAGAGAGAGAGGTGCGAGGGTGAGGGAGAGAGGGAGGGAAAGAAAGGAGCAGGATAGCAAGGATGAGGCTGCAAGTGGGAATAAAGAGACCGTGAACACGAGAGAGGGATGAAAGAGTTTGAGAGGTGAGAGGTTTAGGGAGGGGGGGAGAAAGGGAGGCCGAGAGAGAGAGAGAGAGAGAGAGAGAGAGAGAGGAGGAGAGGTGAGATAGCGAGGTAGCTGCGAAGGGAAGAGAGACTGTGACTGGAAGAG